ATCAAAATTAAGATTCCTGTTCTTCACATTTACGGAATAAACTTGCGCAACATGATATAAAACTAAACTATACTTTATTGTGTAATGAACTCTAGTTTGAAAATTCTTCCTTTAGCTTCCTTTAGATTTACGAGATCTCCGCACATTTTTACAATACTTTACCCAACCACACTAATTTATTGTCTATAAGATGAATCCATATCATTAAATTCAAGAAACAGCTGTGATTCTGGCGTACAAAAGATTGGGGATGTCAGTGCTTATAACACTTCAACGACAATAAAACTAACGAAACCAACAGATTGCATGGTTTTGTAAAACTGTATCTTCAATCAAAGACATAATACTCGTACCTTTTACAGTTTGCATTTATTTTATGGAAATAGCTTTTTTCAGCATTAATCCATAAAACAATTAATTTTAGAAGAGGAAGAATAAGAGAGGAGGGGGAAAGAGATAGAAGGACGACTTTGAAACATAAAAACATTAAAGCCAGATATAAATGACTCACAATTCCAAATTGTATTTAATGTTCATGTTCAATGTCCTTTGCAACACTGTAAAGTAATTTAGAGGGCTCTCGTGGCCTAGAGGTTAAGGTGTTCGCCTCTCATTCAATGGTCCCGGGTTCAAATCTGGATAGCGACGGAAATATTTCTTCTCTAAAATTGTCTCCCTTCACCTCCTTTTCTGCTCAAGCAATGTTCTGTCGTCTGCTTTCGTCTCCACTTTCTTCCTCCCACCCCCTCACCTCTGGGCTTCTGACTCTTTCTGCAGCCTTTCTTCTGCTATTCCTTGGCTCCTTCTTATTGCTGTCTTTCCACCACACCCCTGATCTTCTGGTAGGAAAGATCCACACCTAGCCTACTCGGACAAGGACGAAAAAATCTTGGAGATCTCGTGTGCAAGTTTCCCACGTTAAAGATCCCTTGGTAGTATAAAATCGATGAGAGTAGGTTTCGGCCGCCAACCGGGCAAAATTCAAAATTTCCTACCAACTGAAAATGTTTAATGTGTCCCGCGCGCTCATATGATCTTATGCAGTTGCGCCTCTCAGAAGGGACTCGACTGGCACACAGTGGACATAGCACGATTTCGTTCTCTCAGAATAACAAAGTTCTATCTGGCATTTTGGCCGTTTTGAGTTACTAGAGCAATGAGGTCAAGAACCAAAATGCTCTATCTGTCTATCAAAATCGTAAGATTTATTGGAGCTGTTATCAAGATTTTTTTCAATGAAATGCATTCTAAAAAGCTTGACATATTATTTTGAAACTCAAAACATTTTACGTCAAATATCTCAAAACTACATACTTAGCAGGTAGAACTTTGTATTTCAAGGGTAGTGACTTGACAAGAAATGTCGACTGCTTTTGCTGTGTTTTGCAAAAATAAGCATCACTGACTGCAGTTCTTTGAAGAGGAAAACATTGAGGTATTTAGGGGTTTTTTATGTTCATTCTGGAATTCACTTTACCTTCTTAGTTTCGATGGTGCTAGATTCGGCCAAACTTTGTAAATGGCTTTATTAGCGTTCTCTTGTAAAACTGTTCATTTGACCAGCCTCTGTGTTGTAGCAGTTGGGCACTTTGCCGTTGCATGCAGAAGGTTTGAGTTCGATTCCCGCCGTGAAGGGGGGTGTTTATCGAGTATCTTTGTCTTTCTCCTGGGATGTCTTTTTCCGGGTTGGCCTCCGTAGGCAAAGTCGAAGCCCGTCTATTAAATTAAATTATCGAAATCATGTCGATGGAGGCGTAAAAACGCTTACATTTTCATGGGTTTTTTCTACTCCTTTGTCATTGGCGTGAGGTGTTTTTTATACTTTGACATGGTCTGAAATTTTAATCTTGCAAGCATGCTAAACCCTTGCAAGGATTTTTATACAACGTAACCATTGAAGTTTGAGGGTTGCAAGAAAGATGAGGAGTGACGGACGGGAAATTGGGCATGCGCAAACGTTGGAGGAATCAAATATAAATTTGACGCAAAAATACGCCACCATGTGAATAGTTTTCATGCATAACTTCTAGGGTACAGTGTGGATGTGCTCTCTAGAATAATATTTTCATTGAAAAGGTACCACTAGCCCGACAGTTTCAGCTGACTGGTCCCAAGTTTTGGACTCGGATAGTTCATCAAGTTAAGCACGCTTAGCTGGGGCCGTAACTCTGCTATGTTCGAGGGCAGGTGAGTGTACGATCCCCGAAAAGCGATAATGTACACATTATGTACATGACTATAAAAAAACGTATGCGATCTCCGAAAAGCGATTGTCTACATATGATGTACTTGGCAATAAAAGAGTATACGATCCTCGGAAAGCGATTGTCTACATTATGAACTTGTCTATAAAAAAATTATGCGATCTCTGAAAAGCGATAGTATACACTTTATGTACTTGGCTATAAAAGAGTATAAAAGATCCCCTGAAAGCGATTGTCTAAAAATGATGTACTTGGCTATAAAAGAGTAGTATGCAATCCCCGAAAAGCGACTTCAGTACATACCATGTACTTGACTACAGAATAGGTTCGTACTCGGTGGAATCCTTGAGCATAATCTGACTTTGTGATATACAACACATACAACATTTTATATGATGATTAATATAATAAGTTATACTTTTTTATAATTTAAGTACGATTACCAACATACCACCCAGCGCAACGTGCCTACACCAAAAGATTCGGTGGCAACAAGGCCAGAATGCGACCGAGAAAGACCTGGATAGATGGAGTCTGGGAAACACTAACCACTCACGACGTCTCCCTGACCCAAGCTCTCCGGCAGGCGACAGAGAGACGTCTCTTTCTTCCAGCGACACCCAAAAGGGTATAAGCGGAGGATAAAAGTAAAAGTAAATTAAATAATTTAAGTGTCTCTCTGGACACTGACTGCATGTTTCCAAAGCCAGAACAGCTGTTCATTCTGTGAGCTGGTTGACAGTACTAGGAATAATATAATCTATTCATGAGCGGTATAATAATTATTATAGCATTGCACCCGAAAGGGTGTTGAAAAAGAAGAATAACTGTTATTGTGTTGAAGAAACGTTGGGAAAGAAC